AACTACTTGCTGATTAAACTATAGGAATATTGTTTGTTAATCTGTCAAGTAAACCTACATGTAACTTTACTCAGAGGTTAAAAGATCGACCCTTAACAGGAATTTTAAAGTTTATATTTAATAGCCCTTTGAAAGAATATATAAATTTTTCTATAAAATAAACATATTGTTAATTCAAAACTAAATTCATATTAAAATTTACGATACGAATAATCACCGAACAATAAATAATAATACCCCTGCATAAATATTTATTTGTAAATTTTTTTTGTCAGTTCTTTTTTAGATAAATAATATGCTCCATGTCCGATACTCAAGCCTTTTGTTATATCGTTTTAGAATTACTTTTTCTAAGTATATGACAAACGGCTTGCGTGAGAAAATAATGGAAATTTCTAGATTTTCTTGCCAAATAAATTATAAAGATATAAATAATATGAGGGCCACGTCCGACACTCAAGCCTTTTGTTATATAGTCTTAGAATCGCTTTTTCTAAGCATATGTCAAACCTTGTGTGGGAAAATTGTGACAATTTGCATAAATTTTTCTAGCAACTTTCCTATGTTCTGAAAATATGAAGACCACGCTCTGCACTCAAGCCATTATTTTTTTCTATGCTCTTAAATTCATAAGTTTTATTGCAAAAAATTTCGTTGATGGGAAAATAACTGAAAAATCAAAAAAATTTCTATTAAATTTTCCAACCTCAAAATGGATTTATCCACTCGCGTCACTCAAGCCAATATGTTTTTCGGGCTAGTTATGATGCATGTATTCATACTATCGACGGGCTTGTGTGGAAAAATCAGTTAAAATATCGATTTTTTTTTACAAGATTACGCCCTTATTTCAACCCTTTAGCCACTTGCAACATTAAAGCCTTTGGTTTTCCGAAGCCTAGTTAATCATATAGTGAAAACGACTTGCGTCGAAAAATGAGCAAAAAACAACTTTTATTTCTGTTAAGGACAATCGAATTTTCCATATGTTATCCCCAGGGACCACTCGTAAATTTCCTTTCATTCTATTTGAAATCGATTACTTTTCAACCCTCTTCGGGGCTTGTATGCGAAAAGGGCACCTAAATCAGTCACTATCTGACGGTCTATTACTTAGGTGCTTAACTTTGCGCTATTTTTATTTTTTCCTTTCACTATTTTTATTACTTTTATTACCATTTTTCTACATTCTGAACTTTTTACCATTGACCTAAATATCTTGTTTATACTATTTTTTTTTGGTATGTAAATGTATAATTTTAAATTATATTGTTTCATATTTTAAATTTGTAAGAAAATTGAATATATTGTAAAAGGGTTTATGCCCAATGAAATAAAATAAAGAAATATTGTCAGTTAATTTTGTATTTTAAATTGAAAATTCGGAAACAAATCTCAAAAATCCCCCTACGAATTATAAAGATCATCCCCGAACCCCAAAGGTAAAAGGTTGTTTTGTATTTGTTATGGAATTTTGTTATACAAATCTGTAAAATAGGTTTTGACCTGTAAATGAATATATAAAATTATGTGTGATTATTTAAATTCATCATTTATCATCTTATAGTATAATCACAAAGGTGTAAGACACTGTTTTATTACAAATTATTAATTAGTATTCAAGTTTAATTTGACAAACTTAGGACATCTTTCAAATTTAACTTATATGCTCTCACTGTTATAGATATGAAACGTGTTTATTAAATCCCTCGAAAAAAATTGATATTTGAAACGGTTATTTTCAAAATTTTTATTTTAGATGTACATCAAAAGGTATAAATTATTTTAATAAATAAAGCCGGCCCTGACCATAACGTAACGGTGCTGCTACTCGGCCAAAGTATGTGCACTCGGCTATGATTGCTATTTACTGCGCATGAATATTAACCTTAAAGTGACGTAATGCACGAAATCAAAACGCCTCACTTTTTGGTATTAGGAATAGCGTTCAATTGTAACGGTATCACACACAAAGCACATAGAGGTTCCACGTGAATGACCAAGGTCAAAACCGACAACTGTATTTGGAAGGAAAATACCTATTTATTATTGGATGAATAGTTAAAAAGATTCACCTTTTAATACAATACCTATATTACATTTGTCCTCAGTTAAAAAGACATTTATAAAATATATAACTTTAGTGTTAATAAAATGTAATATCCTAGTCTCTACTTCACATTTAAATTATTGATAGGTACCTATTTTAAAGATTTGAGATTATATATCTATTTGCTCCAAGTAAGTATTCGTTAAATATGTATTATTATTTGTATTTATTTTTATCTAATAATATTTATTTAAGTTATTAATAAACATATTTTAAGAATGTTCTATTTTATTATTTACTGATATATATTTATTTAATAAAAATATGCAGAACCAACTCTCCACATTAGACCCCTTATAACAAATGAATTCTTCAAATTTGGTATAATCGACCTAAATTATTCTGTAAAATAAAAGTTTCGAACTTACTAGTTCCATACTTTATTTTATAAAATAATTTATGTGGAAATCATTTAAAACTACTACCTACTCCTAAAAATTACAATTTGAATTTACCGCCATCTGTCAATTGTCATTTTAGTTCCAGCTCCAAACACAAGGTGGCGCTAATTTGGTTTAAAAGTTTAACATTGGCGTGGGGTCTCTAGAAGATACATGCTTTGTGGTATCACATACTTTGAAAATCAAAGTATGTGAACGGTGTAGAGTGCATTGGAAGCAACGCGTGCAAACTTCAGGCCGCACAGGTTAGATAAATTAGTTAAGTTTTTTTTTTTTTTTAGTTTTAATTTGAACACTAGAAAAATTATTCTATTTACTTTAATGTATTTTACATTTAGATTCAGCCAAAAAATTGGTTTTTCCAATTTTTTTCGTACAAGTATTGTTCGAAATATTTTGGAAGAAAACTATTTTCAAACAGTATTTTCGAATTAAGGTTTTTCGAACAACCACTCATTCGAACAAACGTATTTTCGATCTAAGATTTTTCGAACAAACGGGCTTCGAAAAAAATTTTTGTACAAAATTCCACCAACCGTTTATTATTTCTTATAGAAAAGGTTGACAAGATTTTTACTTATGACATACGTTTGACAATTACATCAATACTTTCATATACAGTGTAAAACACATACTTTGATTACTATACGAGGCAAGAGAGAGGTCCGACACGCCCAACATAGGGCGCGGCCATTTTGAACCCTATAACACAGTTTACAGCTAAAGAATCAGATCGCTCACTCTGCGTCGGCACTTTGGATCTCAATGTTTCAGTTTATACACTGTGCAACTCGGATAATACAATATATGACAACCGCCTATAATAAAACAGCAGTCTTCTGCGTATCCTGAATTTGTATCCCTAAAGTGGATGTTATTTTGGAACTTTCAACTGGTCCGAGTGAGCTAACTGATTCTTTAGCAATAAACTGTGACTTCAAAAATAATATTCACTGACACTGACAGCAGCAAGCAAAATATCAGGGGCGTTTTAATCATCCGCTTCTGCTTCCGGAATTGTCGGTTTAGTCGTTTTAACCTGTCAGATTAAAACAAGAAAACTGACAATTCCGAAGCAGAAGCGGATGATTAAAACGCACCTATTAAAAATATTGCGCCAAGATGTAGGCAACACGTAATAACGGTTCGAAATGGCGGAGTTTTCTATCTCCTTTTAAAAGGCACTCAGAAAGCTGCACAGTGCGACCATTCTCTGTATAGTAAAAGAAAATCAAAGTATGTGGTGTAAAAAATTTAGTCCTGGGTTGAGTAAAGACAGATATAGAAATTTGCAACAGACAACACACTATCGACTTTTAGAGGACTCCAATCATAAATCAAGGACTGACTACGTTTAAAGAGATAGGAAGGTATGTAGTGAATTACATGCACTACATATCTTCTTCACACTTCAAAAGGTTGAGCGCATCTGGTTGGAGACCTGGTTGCCAACGATTCGATTATTGGTTTAAATATTTCAGACTTAACATTTTTATTTTTATATACATCTTTTTTTCTACCCAAATATATTTTACATATAAACCATAATATTTATTTATAATAGAAGAATAATAAATAGAAAGTATGGTACCTACAAGTTAAAATATTCCACAATGGAGAACTCGACGAGATATGCATGATTCCACAATGGTGACTAAATCACTAGCAGTAGTAGAATTTAGTGGTCGAACGTCATGGACAACTAAAGCAACATCATTGAAAAGGTAATTTTATGGAGAATTCAGTAATATGGATATTCATTTGCTTTCGATTTTAGCGCCTCCTAGGGGGATAAAAACTGTGACGTATTGTAAAGTTGACACTTCATTTTCTGAGAACTAATTTTATTAGCAATTTAATGTGTAGGTAGCTAAATTTGTTATTTTGGTTGAATGCGATTAGTTTCAATTTCTTAACGTTACAGCTATGCAAGATTTTTCAATGCTTTAGGTTCATGTTCAGTCAATTGTTTTGTTACAACATAAAACATTACATTTTCAATACATTTAGGTTTCATAAGAAATGTCACACTATATAACCATATTTATCTCGGTAAAGGGCGCTAAAATAAAAAATATCGCCATAAATAGTTATATTTCTGAATTTTCCATAAAATTACCTTTTCAATGATGTGATATACTTGGTAGAATGACGGAGGAGTAGTGAGAATAACATTTGACAGTTGAGGATTTAATAGTGAATGTTCCCCTTTAATAAAAATTGACGGGTCCGAGCGGGTGTATAAAATTTTGACCCAGTTCATGATAATGGCTCTGGTAGGTTTTCGTCTAGCCACCCTGTATAATTTATACAATGCTGTCGATTCTATTTTTATATTCATAAATATTAGGTAAATTTGCAAAAGGTGCGGTTTTGCTTAAAATAAAGGTCAACTAATTTAATAGTTTTGTAGGAATGATCTATTTTTAGCATTTGCTTGAAGATCAATTAAATTAAAAATAATAATAATACAAAAGAAAGGTACGTACCGCTTAAATTGCTGTCAGCAAGCGGCAACAGAGGATGCGCGGAAATGCTGTTCCCGACAGTTGTCGAATGCATGTTGGTTGCGCTAGAGTGAGCGCTAGAATGCCGAAAAGATTGCGACCTGCGATAGAAGAGAACGAGGAATACATCAACATTATTATCTGCCATTTCAAACAATAATAAAATTCTCCTTCCCCAACGACAAGTCAAAATACCGCCATGTAATCACAAATAAGTTGATAACACTAGATTATGATTATGTCAAATGTTATTATTGTCAGATGTTTTTGACGTGTCATATTTATTAAACAGTTGTATAAATTAATGAAAAACAATGCACGGCCCAAATGTTTTCTCTAATTTCACATAACATAAAACATACCTAAAATTTGTATGATTGTTTCAATATAGGTGAATTAGGACCGATTCCACCGTTGTGTTAAACGGAGATTAAAATGACGTTGTTAATGTAAAAATGTCATTTTAAACTTCGTTTAACACAACGGTGGAATCGGTCCTTAAACCTTCATTTTTTTATGTAAACAATGTTTTGACACTTGTAAAATACATCTTGATGAATTAACGACATTAAAAGCTGTCAAAATTATCGTTAATAGGTACGATACACAGACTAACAGTATGTTCCTGCGCATGCAGCTGACTGACGGTGACGTCACGTGGGACTAGAATTATTAGCATTAAATGGGAGATAGTGTTTGAAATTCCATATTTCGCCGGTTTTAGATTTTATTCAGTTACTTATTGGTTATTTTGTAATATATTCGTTTACAAATATGAAGATTTAAGGTAAATAATACTAATAAAAATATTAATTTTTCTCATTATTTATAGGTATTTTGTGACAAAAAATACAAGTTGGACACAAATTTGTACTTTCTGTGCGTGCAATCCCTTTTCTTATTATGTGAAATAAAAATAAGTGTGCAGAAACAAATTATTTATTTATAAAAAGTACACAAAAAATTACTTTTTTATGATAAATTTAAACATTTTTTTGTCAAGTTTACTTTGAAAATACTCCAAACTAATTTTTCCTGTTCATGTAACTTATTCTTATATATGTTCGTGCCCTGCTTATGCGGAGTATTACTTCAAAAATGACCGTTGTATATGTTCAAATTTTAAAATACCTATTTATTTTCTTTGTTTAATGAGGCCCCATGCACCTGGTGGAACAACTTTTTATACTTTTGTATTTGTTTAAATTAAGTTTGCCCTTTCTTCGATAAGAATATACCCACATTTCGTGGCATTCGGAAATATATTACATTATACTATTTTTGATTCCGTATTATGGTTTTTGCAAGTCGCCACCGCGCATCCCGGTATTTTAAATATTAATTCAGTTCTTCCCTGTTATATATAGGAAAATACAGTCACTACTAACACAGAAACAAATACATTATTTTACACTATTCAATCGAAAAGTGTCAAAATTACTTGAAAGTTCGTCCCGCATTACGTCACTGCGCGGTTTGGACGGAATTTGAATAGAAAGTCAGCATACTGTTAGCATGTGTATCGTGGTTAATAGGAATGTTTCATTACTACCAACTTTTGTGACTTCATCACTGTATTTGGCATATTCTTTTATAGGGATTTTTTAAAGGAGAGTATTATTATTCTTAGTGTTAAAAGTAGTTTTTTCCTACACACTTAACAGTAAATCTAAGAACATGACTAAGTTAGGCATCCTTGTGAGTTTGATATGGAGCACAGTAAAATAGCTTTGTTAACACTCGTTTCTATATTATAAAAATAAATAAAATTTAGTAGACAAGCTAATGTCGCGCTTATACTAAAATAAAGAATTTAGAATTAGGACTGCTTCTTTATATGGGATAAAAAAAACATTAAGTATTTTATGTAACTAAAATTCTACTGAATAACAAGCATTATACCTATATGTTATATGCGTCTCATACCCCTTATCTTATACAGGGTAGCTTTTAAAGATGGAACCAAACCTATAGTGTTTAAACGGTTCAACATACAAAACCCAAAATTTCAGAATTTCAACTAAATGTATCACACATGGGGTCTAAATACAACAAAAAGGATATTATTATTAGGGAGCGTAGGAGGCTGTGCATTTGACACAAGACGTCAAATACAAACATTTTTGTAATCAGGGTGTTAAACCCTTTCAAATGGTATATCACATGACCTATGTTGCTATTTCAAAAATCAAGATGGCGGACATGCTTAAAATTTTGTAATTATAAAAAAAATAATTTTTGGGCTAAAATATGCGCAAATATATTTAGTTGAAATTCTGAAATTTTGGGTTTTGTATGTTGAACCGTTTAAGCACTATAGGTTTGGTTCCATCTTTAACAGCTACCCTATATATCAAATTACAGGCAATAACAACTTCCTTTCTAAAAAACATATTATGTTACAGCTTTCGCAGAATGCAGCGTAGATTCACCTGCACTTCTGCTGATGCTGAGGTCAGCATATGCGACCTTATATATAGGACCATTTTTATAATATACTTTAGTTTTTACTCACATCTTGTACACACAACATGTACTAATCTTTCAATATATTCTTTAACAAGTATAACCTTTTTTTAAAAAGTTAAATTAGATCCATGCGATCTAACAAGTGGCGCAGTCAGTAGGATTTTTGCGAACAGTGCTAGAACACGGCTACCCTAACTAGCTTTGGTGGAGACATCCTTAACCAGAAAAAGAACCAATTCATCGAGCTCTGCGGACGGAACACCCAGTGAAGCCCCTGGCAGACGACGTGAACAGAAGATCGATGCTACGATTCATGTAAGTAATTGAATTGTCTCGATTGATTTAATTTATTTAATTGATACAAAAACTTGTTCGACTATTTAACTATTGCTATTATTCAATTTGTGTTTTACTATAATTAATAATTTCTCAAAATGAATAACGGTAACCCTAACGTAGATGACGCAAACAACGCGAATCAAAATAATGTTAATATTGAAGGTGGTGGCGCTCAACAAGTACCCCACGTAATAGAACCCTATAAACTCAGTGAAATATTTTCCATCGTACCAGAATATGACGGTAATCCAATTTTTCTTGCAAATTTTCTGCAATCCTGTAGACGAACAACGAGCACTTCTCGTTTTACATATTAAAACTAAATTACGCGGCAAAGCTTCTGTATTAATAAATTCTAGAAATCCGCAAACTTGGTTAGAAATACGACATTTATTATAAACCCATTTCGGTGACGCTAGAGACTTAACAGCCTTAATTCACGACCTGCAGAGAATTCGTCAACTACCTGGCGAATCTCCATTAATGTTCATTTCGCGTTTACAAAGCCATAACGCAAAAATGCACGCTTCAATTTACAAACAAATGTTAACCCCTGATCAAAAAAACGACCAAACTAGGTTAATCGAAACTATGACACTTAATACACTTTTGACTGGACTAGACCCAAAACTCGGACAAATTGTACGAGCAAGTAACCCTTCAGACATTTTATTTGCAAGTATGCGAGTAAAACGTGAACTACAATTAAACTATTACGAAAATCAAAAATTTAATCGCGCTAATAATCCAAATAATGTACCGCGCAAACCGATTTCAAATCAACAAGAGAAAAAATGTTCTTATTGCGGCCGTACTGGTCATATAGTAAGCGAATGTCTTCAAAAACACTTTGCTTCTCAAAATAATTTCCAAAATAACCCTCAAAGAAATTTTCAAAGCTCTTCAAATCAACCGAATTTCAAAAGACAACAATTTCAACCCAATCAACAATTTCAGCCTAATCAAAATGCTATTAATAATCAACAAATTCGTCCATCAGTAATTAGACCTAATCCAAACTTTAATAATCAACGTCCTTGTAAAAATGCATTCGAACATTTGAAACGTTCGTTAATAACTTCACCAATTTTATTCTATCCAAATTTTGAAGAAACGTTTCTCCTAACGACAAATGCCAGTGCATATTCTATAGGTGATATCCTGTCTCAAGGACCAATTGGCAAGGACCTTCCCATCGCCTATGCGTCACGGTCCTTGTGCGCTGCAGAAACTAAATATTCTACAATCGAAAGAGAACTTCTTGCAATTGTGTGGACCGTAAAACATTTTCGTCCCTATTTGTTCGGTAGAAAATTTAAATTAATAACCGATCATAGACCATTAACTTGGTTATTCTCAATCAAAGATCCAGGGAGTAGACTCGCTCGCTGTGCTTGAAACTCGAGGAATATGATTACGAAATCATATACAAACCGGGAAAAATAAATAAAAATGCTGACGCTCTTTCAAGGATCAAAATTAATCATTTTGATCAATGTTCTAAATTACAAACTAAAATTTATCATAATAATGACACGACAAACGTAGGAAACAGATAAAGACCCTCCTATCGAGGAAGATTCTCCTGATGTATCAGATATCATCGAAGATCCTCCTAGTATTAAAACAAGTACCATATCAAACGAACTTTTAGAAGAAATTATGACAGAATTCCAAATTTTTATAGATTCTTATAAAACGAAATCAGTCATTGATTATTCTAAAATTCAATTTGTAAATAATCAAATTTTGGACAAAGCTAATAAAAATATAATTACATTTTTCTGGCAAAATAAACTATATGACCTTCACAATAAAATAATAGACGCTTTACTAGAGGAAGAAGTAGACTTTCAGTATAACAAATTTAATATTTTTAGCAGTAAAACCGTTAAAGATCGAAAATACTATATAGTAGTTTTAACGTTCGATCCAGATGTAGTTATCGAACACCTTTTTACAGTACTTTACATAAATAAGAACGAATTGGACATGACCAAAACGTTCGTAATAGAAAATAACTTAGAATTACCTATACTAGAAATGTTTTCGTTTATTTTTTATGAAAAAGATATCAACATAAAAATTTGCCAAAATATAATTAAAACCTCTACTGTAGACGAAATACCGGTAATAATTGATAATTACCACACAGGGAAAGTAAACCTTCACAGAGGTATATACATGAAACAATACGACGAATAAAAGAAAAATATAATTGTGACGGACTAACTAAACAAGTAGAAGATTTTATAAAAAAATGTGAAATCTGTCAAAAGATTCAAGTTTGTAG